AAACTCATTTACTACTAGGACTGACTCAAGGGTTGGGGTTTCAGAGTTTGAATCCTTAACCCAAATGAAATGATAGATATACCCTTTGGAGATCATCTTCCTAACCTTAAGGTAAGAGATAAATCAACCTATAGGCACTGAACTACTATCCTTCCATTCTAAGACTGGCTCGTTTGGAAACTAAAACTGAACAATCTTATTTCTATAATCGACTGAGGCATACCAGGAATGTAACCAATCCATGCCAAGAATGATATCAAAATCTACCATGTCTAACTCTACAAGGTGTGCTGAGGTGACTTTCTGAGAAAATGTAACAGAGTAATTTTAGTATACCGATCTAGCTATAACAGGGTCACCAACTGGAGTAGAGACTGAGAAGAGTTCTAAGAGAGTTTCTGGACTGACACTGAAGTTTACTACTATATAGGGAGTTACAAAAGACAGTGTATCCCCTGGATCTAACAATGTATAAATATCTAAATAAAAGACTCGTAACGTACTGTTGAGCACAACCGACATAAACCACGTGAGTTAAACGTGGAATCTAATGTATACGCCCCATCAAGAGAACCCAATATATCTTGACAAGGGTATAGAGGCATGGCCGTGGCATGATCACTAAAACTGATGCCCAACTGAGGGGACTTATCAACCTTTGCGGGCACGTAGTTCTAGGACTTTGAGGGTACGTTGAACCCTAGTCCAACTCAGTGATGAGTCTACTCTCAACTGAATATTCATACAGCTTAATGCACAAAATACTGAATAGCTCAAAACTGACATGCTAACTGAGAATGCAACATTTTTATACTGAGATTATAGCATTCAAGATCTGAAGCATGAATTTCTATCTCGTTAGCCTAGAAAGGTAGGGTTCTGAGTTCTATGCATGGAATTATACTAAGATTTTTGAGAAAAAAGTTAATTAGATTGAAGGAACCATAATCACAATAGATCTTGAAAATCTAAAAACCCTAGGTCTGAATAGTTTATGACAATCTGAAAAACTAACTAAATTCTAGGGACCTAATAGATGAAAGGAATCCACCATTTAAATCCCAGATACCTGGTGACAAAATCTATGGAGAAATCCTTTGGATTTCAGGGCTGAACTTCGAAGAACGCTTTTCTTGAAAGAAATTGGCACCTCTTACTCTTCTTTTCGTTCTAACTTGGATGATATTTGGAGAATGAGGGTTTTGGGTATGTCTGACTAGATTATTAGGCGTAGACTGAGTAAGACGACATAGTTTAGGAATCAAACGACATAGTTTAAGTGCCCCAACACATAAGGAAAGGAAAAAAATGACCCTAACTTATAGGTGACGAAGTACCACTCACGAATAGACTGACAGGTTGCCGATTGAACCACTGCCCGTCAAAAGGGTCGTGGTTCGAGGCCTACCTGACAGGGCTTCTCAAAAACAAGCATAACTTTTTACTCAGAGCTTGGATTTTAGCAAACTTGGTGGCGTTGGAAAGATGATTAAATTATCTTTAATTTGATAGGTCATGGGCCACCTAATTCATTTTGTGCTAAAATATATGACTGTTTGAAGTTGACCCAACAACAATTTTCCTCTAATTAGTTGTTGACCCTCACCTACGGCCAAACCTGTGGTCTGTAGGTCTAACCACGGACCGTACTGGTTGGCCGTGGGTGGGATCAGAGACCACTGAGTCTTGGACCATAATGACGGAACCCCACCTACAGTTTATGGATCCATCAACGAACTGTGGACTAGGACCGTAGGTCTCATCTTTTGATCCTAAAATTCCCCTAAGTCTGGGACTCAACAACGGGACCCCACCTACGGTCCGTGGTCTGACACATGGTCTGTCGGTGTCTTTCGTTGGTTCTGACACCAGATCCTGGAAAGCTGCATTTTTCTATCTTCTCGAATTAGAGGTGTTACAAAGGTCTTATTGTTCATAGGAAGGCTCTTGTGTAAAAGCCCTAGAAGAAGTCCTACGAACCATCAGGATGGTCCATAGAGGCTTCTAAGGCCCGTAGGAAGTAGTCATAGAAGGGGCCATAGACTTGTTGAAAAATATTGGGAAAAAGGATTCCTATGAAGGTCTACATCCCGTAGAAAGGTATACGGACCGTAGAACGCTTCCGTTTAGGAAATGTTCAAAAAGTTGGTCCTAGTAATGTGTTCTACATTTGGACAAGATGGATTGTAGGAATTCCTAAGATCCATAGGTCCAATCCATATGGTCTTTCGGCGGTTTTTGATTAAGAGTATTTCGGCCTTTTCCTTTCTATTAAATCCCTAAACTATGTCATTTCGACCATATTACTACCCCCATGACTCATTTTACACTTCAAAATCTACCCATTCCTTCTCATTCAATCAAAACCCCCAAAATCTCCCAAACTCTTCTCCTTCAATTCTATCTCAAGAACTTTCACTGCAAAGCTGGGGTTTCATCAAGCTCAAGGTTTCTTCCTCCATTCTAGGACTTTGATTACCCAAGGTATGTGTTAACTTTACCAATGGATTCATTTCATCCATTGGGTTCCAAAAGATATGCAAAAGTACTCATTACCCCCCGGAACTTGAAGCTTTTTATTCGGTGTACACCTAAACTATATTCCATTTTAATTACCCCCACCCCGAACTTGTTTATTCCTCTGTCGCGTACACCTTTATTGTCTGATCACTCCAATCGTGTCTACACGTGCATGATACCTAGATAAATATTAGCCTCCTGGATAAATATTAGCCACCTAGATAATTAAATGTCAAACCTTCTCATCTAGATTAAAACTTTCGGACTAAGCTTCTCACTAAGATCTAACAAGTGTAATCGACGATGACAGATTTCAAAAAATTTGGCTCTCTAAGAAGTGTAATCGACGGAGTAAAGGGTAGATTTTGTGGAACTCTTTCTGGATTTGGGTCAGTTGCAGTTCTTAGACGTGAAGGCTTACTCGATTTCGTGAAGCGTTTGGTCGATTGGTCGATTTTCGTTCGATCTTGTCTGAAATTGTTACCAAGTAAGTGATTATCCACTCTTATGATGTGTTATTTTTTGTTTCCTTTACTTCTTCATTTATATTTTGCCCTATTTTTCATTTAAGGTTTCACTGTAATTTGACTAGGGTTTCGCCATAGTTTCTGATTAGTGGTTTGATAGTTTTCAACTAGAATTTTCACTTAATGAATGTATTGTTATGAAGTTGTTCAGCTTATGCATGCATGAGTATTACGGTTTCTGCTAATTAGTTCAAAAAATTAGGGCTTTTTAGTAAAATTAAGATTCTAGGGTTTATATTTCAATACTCTATTTTGGTATTGTTAAAAGGTGGGGTATTTTGTAATTTCCTTATGTATATTTGTATGATGTTGAGTAATATGGCTTCTAAGTACCAATTATGTTTTTGTACTGTTTATTATAATTTCCTTGTATAACTGTATGCTTATGAGTTAAATTTGGTTTTGTTGCTTCTGTTTTGGTGTTGTTGTCTATGTTTTGGTGTTGTTGCCTCTGTTTTGGTGTTACTGTATATGTTTTGGTGTTGTTGCATATGTTTTGTTGTTGTTGCTTTGTACAATATAATGATTGTTATTGTGGTTACAGGTTGACACTATGGATACTAAGTACCTCAATTTAAGGTTCAAATTTGGGGGTATCTTGGTGAGTGAGGTAGGTCCAGTATATGTTGGGGGTAGGACTGAATATGTAGAGAATATGGATGAAGATCATTTGTCAATTCCTGAACTTGCAGATTATTCTAAGTCTTTTGGGATTAGTAAGTTAGGAAAAACTTATGTAGTTCCATCTCTAGGGGGTGATCTGGTGGAATTGAAAAATGGCATGGACATTTGTAACATTGCATTATTTATGCATGATGGGGACACAATAGATATGTATGTATGTGATGACATTATTTTGGAGGATGTGGGTCCCAGTAAAGGTCAAATTAGTCAATCTTTAAGCCAAGTGGTTGAGTCTTTTAATGCACATGGGGAATCTAATGGTTCTTTAACTGCACAGCCAAAAAAAAACAGATCTAGGGTTAGGTTCCTCTTCTTCCTTTCCATCTAGTGAAAGAGTTAAGAATGATGAGGTTGCAAAGGTCCAACAAGAAACTGATGATTATTATTCTTCAATAGATTGGACTGATACTGAAGAAGAAGTTGAACCTACTGTCCAACAAGGAACTGAACCTTCTAGTCAAGAAGAAGTTGAACCAAGTGCCCAAGAAAATGCAAAGGAAGAGATATACAGTGATTCTATTTGTTCTGACCAGTCTATTGACTATGGCAGTGATGTGCATGAGGAGTTGAGGATTGTTAAGGAAGCTGTGAGAAAGTTTAAAGAAAGTAGGAGGAGAAAGAAGAAGGAAAAACCAAAAGGTTTTTTAGGTGAAGTTGGACTTGATGAAGGGTATGAAGATATTGAAAATGGCAAAAACAAATTCAAGGGTAAGCTAACAGAGGATGAGCCATACTATGACAGTTCTGATTGTGATAGTTTTCAAAGTGATGAAGAAGAACATGTTTCTGATGATGTACTTGAAGGAGGGAGTTTAAGGGGAAGAAAGAAGAGTAATAGAGTGATATATGATTCTACTTGTGATGTTGTAATATGGTAGTGTGGTTTGGTATTTGAAAGTGTAAAGGAATTTAGAGAGGCAGTTACAAAATATGCTATAAAAAAAGGAGTTGAGTTAGACAAGTATGTGAATGAGAGTACTAGAGTAAGAGTCAAGTGTAAAAATGGTTGTCCATGGCTTTTGTTTGCAAGCAAGGAAGGGAGGAGTGAGAACTTCACTATCAAGACATACAACCCAAGGCACAGATGTACCGGGACCACCAATAATATTGTGTAATTCAAAAAATTTATGTAAGTATCTGAAAGATAGGATTATTTCTCAACCTAGTATAAAAGGGTGGGAAATACAAGATTTGGTGAGGAAAGAGTTGAATGTTCATGTAGGCAAGGCAGTTTGTTTAAAAACAAGAAAAAATATTTTAAAGGAAATTATGAGGGATCATGTGGCAGAATTTAACAAAATCCTAGACTACAGGGATGTGTTACACCAAACAAATCCTGGTAGCACTTGTGTTATGAAGCTTAAAGATTCAAAATCAGAAAATGGGATGAAACAGTTTCACTCTTTTTATATATGTTTTGATGCTATGAAAAAGGGTTTCCAACAAGGATGCAGAAGATGTATAGGGCTGGATGGGTGTTTTCTAAAAGGAATTTGTAAGGGTCAACTTTTGGTAGTTGTTGCTAAGGATGCAAACAACCAAATGTATCCAATAACATGGGCAGTAATTGGTACTGAAAGCAAGTTGACATGGAAATGGTTCATGACCATTCTGCAAGATGATCTTAATCTAGGAGATGGTTCCCAGCCACTATCATTAGTGATATCCAAAAGGTAACTGCATTTCTTTTTTTTGTTTATCTTTAATTTAATTTGATCAAAATTTAACTATCTTTATTATTTTGCTTTGCAACTACAGGGACTAGTAGTTGTTGTAGATGAACTATTTCCAGAATGTGTGCTAGACACATATTAGCAAATTGGTCACAAAACTTCAGAGGCATAGAGAGAAGGAAGAAATTTTTGGCTTGTGCTAGATCAACATTTGAGGCACAATTTCAGTACAATATAAATGCCCTATCCAAGCTGGGAAAACGTATAGTTGAAGCCCTTATCAAATACAATAAGGAGAAATGGTGCAAAGCTTTTTTCCAAACTTTTTCAAAATGTGATAGTATAGATAACAACATGGCAGAGAGTTTCAATGCTTGGATCTTGGGACCTAGGAACAAGACTATTGGAACTATGCTGGAAGAAATTAAAGTTAAGGTGATGAGTAGGGTGAGTAAGTCAAGAGCATTTGCTGAAACATGGACAGATGGAATATCTCCAATGGCAATGATGGTATTCAATACCAATGTAACAAGATCAATGCAGTGCAACATTGAATGGAATGGTGATGATGGATTTGAAGTGTTAAAAGGGGTATACAAGCATACTGTGAACTTGGGTCAACAGAAATATAGTTGCAGATCTTGGGAATTAAAAGGTATCCCATGTGCACATGATATAGCAGCAATGAACCACTTGAACATGGATGCATCACAAGCAATTTCAAGTTGGTATAGAAAAGAGACATATCTGAAGACATATTCTCATTTCATTCAACCAGTCCCAAACATTGAAATGTGACCTGAAAGCAGAAACCCAATGGTTGAATCACCTAAGGCAAGGCAAATGCCTGGTAGGCCACCAAAGAACAGAGAAGAGAAATTGGTGAAGTGAAAAAAGCTGGGAAGTTGCCAAGAATGGCGACAGTAATGACATGTTCAATTTGCAAAGGAGCAAATCATAACAAGAGATATTGTCCAAAAAAATCCTAAACCTAAGTCTACACCAACACCCACTCAAGAGGTACATTCACATTAATTTGCTTTGATAAATTAGATTAGGTTACTTATTAATTTAGTCTCTTGTTGTATTCTTTTCCTACTCACATTAGTCCACTACTGGGAAAAAGAGGGGTAGAGGTCAATATGAAAGAGCAAGCAGCAGCAAAATTGGTACAGGAAGAGGTGCAGGAAGTGATTACAATAAGAGGCCAAAAGTGGTTGGACAAGGTGTATTTGTTGTTGATACTAGATATACATGTATTAATGTAAGTGTCTTATAAAACTGTCAAAATTATATTTTTAAATGTGAGATCCAAAGTAACTATGTTGTTAATATTGCAGCAAGGACTGTCTAGCAGTAGGAGGGTTAATATTGGTGTGGTGAGTTCTGCGCATGTGACAGGTGATATTGGTTTTAAACCTACCAAGGGACTGAAGTGGAAAGGTAAACAGGCCATGACTAAAAGAGAACTTCAAGTCCAAATTGTTATACGTCGTATTCAAACCAGATCAAAAGCTACTGGAATTCAAACAAGGGCATAAGCCAAGGGTCACCCTCAAAGAAAACTTCTTAGTTGTGTGGTTGTGTGGTTGTAACAACCAAACTTAAATTAGTGATTGTTTTGTATTTTGGTGCTTGTGTGGTTGTTCAACCAAACTTAAAGTAGTGTTTGTTTTGTGTTTTGGTGCTTGTGTGGTTGTTCAACTAAACTTTAAGTAGTGAATGTTTTTTGTTTGGTGGTTAACTTAAGTTATTGTGGTTGTTGGTTGAAACAATGAAACACTATGATGTTTGTGTTTGATGATCAAGAAAGCACTAGTTATGTTATGCCTTTATGTTAGGTTGCCTTTATGTTATTATTTCGTGTTTGTTATCATATTACCAGTTACATGTAACTGTAGTTCTATGAAAACAGGACAAGTCAATTGAACATACACAAAGATATATATATATATATATATATATATATATATATATATATATATATATAGCTTTAATCAGCAGAAACATACATCACTAAAACACCAAACCAAACTAATCCACAAAATGAGAACCCTAGAACCAAAAGATCTTGCTTAATAACAATTGCATTCACAAAAAAAAAATCAACGGCACACTAAATAAAAGAACAATATCACATTACATATCAAACTAATGCCCAAAATCAGTTTCAACATCCATCTACACTTCAGCTGTTTTTCTTGTTTGTTGGTCTTCTTCAACAGACCCAAAATCACAGTATTCGCCTGGCTAGGAAATTCTGGATCATACCAATCCAAAAACTTACAAGGATTTCAAAATGAGGACTGCATTTCATAAAATCAAAGTTAAAAAAATTACTTAATACGAACTTGGCAAATAAAAAGAAAAAAAAAATGAAACAATACGTACCCCATAGTGTCTACAACTGAGATATCTATGTCCGGGATTATCATTTGTCCATGAAATTTTCAGGATTTGAGGAGTCCCACATAAGTAAACAAGTCTCCTATTATAATTCATGAATATAGCAATAGCAATTAAAACAAAAAAGAGAGAAAAATTCTGAAATTTGAAAAGGGAGAAGGGATTAGGGAGAATAAATAGTTAGAGAATAGAAAGAGAAAGAGCTTTAAAATATGCCAAATATTAAAGAAAAATGGAGATTTTACGTTTTTTACCATTGTAGCTTTATGATGTGGCAAAAAATCACTTCCTCACCCGCCTAGTAGAGTGTGTTGTCAATTTCTACGCCAGGTGGAAAATAAAGGTGTACGCGACAGAGGAATAAACAAGTTTGGCGGGGTAATTAAAATGGAATATAGTTTAGGTGTACACCGAATAAAAGCTTCAAGTTCAGGGGGGTAATGAGTACTTTTGCCCAAAAGATACTCAATTCTCCAATTGATTATCACCCAATTTCTAGGGCTTTATGTTAAACCGTCATGGGTTCAAATCATTATAATTCAATTGCTTATATTCAATCTTATTATGCATGATATGATTCAATTACATGTTTTTTCAATTGATTTCATATAATCCCATGCCTTATTGATTTTTACTATAATTACGAACTTATGAATTACGATTATGGATTTATGCATGTTTTTTAAAATTGATTATTTATGACTAAATGATGTTTTTAAGTTTAAGTGCCAAAATTTTCTGAAAGGTTTTCTCATATTTGAAAGAAATCATGATTTAGATGCTTAAAAAGGAAGTGTCTTGATGAATAATTACTAAATTATGGTTTTAAAAGGAATTACTCTAATATGAACTTATGATTAGATCAATATTCTTTCATTATTGTCTTTTCAAGAATTTTGATATGATTATGATTATGTCTTTTTTTGTTGTGATTTATTTAGCACCGAGAGGACTTTGGAATGGAGGTCTTACTGTTAATAGAAGTTTGGTCTTTAGTAGCAATTCCATTGTCCCAAAGTGTGTGCCCTTAAATGACCTAAGGTAGTGGATCTATGTAACACCCCAGAATCAAGGAAGTTAGAAAGGAAGTCAAGTGGGAGGTCACCAGCCCTCCACTTAGACAAGGCACCCTTCATGGATACCCTCACAGGCAGTGAAGGGCACCACGACTCGTGATGGTGCTCGTGGAACCTTCTAGTGGTTGGCCAAGATGGGCTCTCCTCCCACAAGCCCTTAGACACCTCGTGAAGGGCACCACGGCTCGTGGGGGTACCCGTGAAGGAGTAGGTAGTGTGCTCCCCAAGGCCATACTCCTCCCACGAGCCCCTAGACGGCTCGTGAAGCGCTAGATGACTAGTCCAGGTGGGTGTATGGAGGGGGTAGGACTTGCCTAGCCACTAGTCTAGGGACCACGACTGCTTAGACGCCTCATGGACCCTTATATGGGTCGTTTGGGTGTCCATCTTGAGGTTCGCGTCAGCTGCAAGACACGGTCAGTTGGGTATTTTCCTAATTACTTTATCTTGATACTATGCCATTTTTCCCTTACATAGAACCCCTATATAAGTGATTTTAAACCTAAAACTTACCCATTTAAGTCATTCTCCTAAATTTACCGAAGAAGATCAAGTTCCTCCTCTCCAAAATATTTCTCTCTCTAATAACATGAAGAAGAAGAAGGGTTCAACCTACAGTTTCAAGGCAAGTCTCCAATTCCACCATTGAAGGAAAGTTTTTGGCATTGAGGTATGATAGTTTTCATCCATGTATCTCTTCCATTCACGGAGTTCCCAAATTCTCCTATTTTCAAAGTTAGAAATCCCCAATTGAGTTAGGATTTTTCTATGTTGTGCGTTCCTTTAATTATTGATTGAATTGATTTATCTATGATCTTTTAAGCATGAATTGAGTTAATTTCATGATTTTATGATGATTCCCATGAACCCATGTAATCCCCGTGTTTTCCAAGTTATGATCATACATGTTTTCCAAGTTATGATCATATGATGTGGGTTTTGGACTAAGAAAGAGAAGTTTATGAAATCAAGCCTGTTCTTATGAAATTTATGTAAATGTTTTAACGATTCTTTAAGAGTGAAGTATCAATGATGATGTTTTTGTTGTGTTGTTGAAAGGATTTCTCATATACACATGAAAGTATGATTGTGAAAGGTTTACTCACATAGTAAGGATTCTAAGGTGGAAAGGTTTTCTCACCTAAATGAATCAAAGATAAGGAGTTATACTAATGATACCTAGCTTGGATTGGCAAGATGACGTGCCCTTCCATGGATAATAAGAACAAGTAAGAAAATGACTATTTTGTGAGCTTTATGCTCAGCACCGAGAGGATATTAAGATGGAAGCTCTCTCGTTAGTAGAGGTTGGGTTTCTAGAAACAATCTCCTTATCCCTTACCTATCTGCCCCCATAGGATGATTGTCTAGATAGACATTATTTAGTTGATCCACAATAGCTAAAAGTTCATGGTTCTACCTTGGAAAGTAGGACAACCCTTTTCGGTGTGGGAGACACTAGGGGATCATGTTATAGCTCACATGTTCTCTATGTCGGTTAAGGCTACTTCCCATAATAATAATGAACTAAGGTTACTTCAATAAGTATTTCACATGTGTTCAAAGGTTTTAAAGATGTTAGCTTGCATTGACCATGTTTTATGACTTCTTTCTTTTAACCTGTTTTATATCATGTTTTAGCTTGGTCATTGCATGTCATGGAAATATCCCTTTTTTGCATGAATTTAATGTTTTTATACATGGATATCATACTTGGTACATATTTTGTACTAACGCATACTCTTTCCTACATTTCCCCAAATGTAGGGTCCTACCGTCAGGGTTCTCAGTTTCGTGGCTAGAGGTTGACTTGAAAGATTCTGAGTTTTGGTGAGTCCTCATGCTTCAAGGACTTATTTTCATCTTTTTCAGTTTTCCATCTTACTCAGTTTGGACATGATGTATGGGCTAGGCCCAAATTTCATTCTTATGTACTAGATGGCTAATGAGATAAGTGTTTCGACTTCCGTTTTAATTTTATAAAACTTTTGAGACTTAAATGCTAAGTGGCTTGTATGGGGCCTCTCGGGGTCTTATACACCATGTTACGCCTAGGGGTACCTTGGGTCATGACAAACTTGGTATTAGAGCACAAGGTTTAGAAAGGTCCAAGGATGTCTCATAAGCCACGTCTAGTAGAGTTTTGTTCATGAATGTTAGCGCGCCACATTTATGAATGAGAGGCTACAAGATGTTTTGGAAATTCCACTTTTTCATTACTCTAAAGCTGTGCAATAGAGTTTAACTCTATAAGGTCTCTCTCATAATCCTTTTCTGATGCTTTATAGGATATGGCTACTCGAAGAGCTTATGCTA